TTTTTTTTTTCTCCCCCCATTTTTTGAATATTTTTCCCCATTCTTTGGGATTTTTTTTTTTTTTTGGAATTTTTCTCCCCATTTTTCCATTCCCCCCTCATTTTTTTTTTTTTTTTATTCCCTTTTTAATATTTCCCCCAATTTTTTAAATTTTCCCCCAATTTTTTTTAAATTTTTACCAATTTTGGGGTTTTTTTTCCCATTTTTGGGTTTCTTTTTCCCATTTTTGGTTTTTTCCCCCATTTTTTGGATTTTTTCCCCGTTTTTGTGATTTTTTCCCCCTTTTTTATTTTGATTTCCCTCCCCCCCCCCATTTTTATTCTTTTTTACCCATTTTTGGCTTCTTTGTCCCCATTTTTGGGTTTTTTTTCCCCATTTTTAAGGTTTTTTCCCATTTTTGGGGTATTTTCCCCAATTTTGGGGGGGGTTTCCCATTTTGGGTTTTTTTTCCCCCATTTTCGTGATTTTTTTCCCCATTTTTATTTTTATCTTTCCCTACAATTTTTTATTCTTTTCCCCCATTTTTGGGATTTTTTCCCCATTTTTATTTTGATTTTTCACCCCATTTTTATTCTTTTTTTCCCCATTTTGGGGGTTTTTTCCCATTTTTTGGGTTTTTTCCCCCATTTTCGTGATTTTTTTTCCCCTTTTTAGTTTTGTTTTTTCCCCCATTTTTTTATTTTTTCCCCCACTTTTTGGGTTTTTTTCTCCTTTTTTATTTTGATTTTTCTCCCAATTTTTTCATTTTTTCCCATTTTTGGTGTTTTTTTCCCATTTTTGGGGGTTTTCCCCCATTTTTGCTTTTTTTCCCCCATTTTTGCTCACGATTTTCCCCCATTTTCGTGATTTTTGTTCCCTTCTTTATTTTGATTTTCCCCCCATTTTTTCTCATTTTTTTCCCATTTTTAGGATTTTTTCCCCCATTTTCCTGATTTTTTTTCCCCTCTTTTATTTTGATTTTTCTCCCCATTTATTTTTCTCCTTTTTCCCCATTTTTGCCTTTTTTTCCTTTTTTATTTTGATTTTTCTCCCCATTTATTTTTTCTCCTTTTTCCCCATTTTTGCCTTTTTTTTCCTTTTTTATTTTGATTTTCCCCATTCATTTTTTCTCCTTTTTCCCATTCTTTGTCTTTTTTTCCCTTTTTTATTTTGATTTCTCTCCCCACTCATTTTTTTCTCCTTTTTTCCCATTTTTGCCTTTTTTTTCCTTTTTTATTTTGATTTTCCCCATTTATTTTTTCTCATTTTTTCCCATTTTTGGGTTTTTTTTCTTTTTTATTTTGATTTTCCCCATTCATTTTTTCTGCTTTTTTCCCATTTTTGGCTTTTTTCCCCTTTTTAATTTTGATTTTCCCCATTTATTTTTTCTCTTTTTTTCCCATTTTTTGCCTTTTTTTCCTTTTTTATTTTGATTTTTCTCCCCATTTATTTTTTCTCTTTTTTTCCCATTTTTTGCCTTTTTTTCCTTTTTTATTTTGATTTTCCTCCCCATTTATTTTTTCTCATTTTTTCCCATTTTTGGCTTTTTTCCCCTTTTTAATTTTGATTTTCCCCATTCATTTTTTCTCCTTTTTTCCCATTTTTGTCTTTTTTCCCCTTTTTTTATTTTAATTTTTCTCCATTTATTTTTTCTCTTTTTTCCCATTTTTGGCTTTTTTCCCCTTTTTAATTTTGATTTTTCTCCCCATTCATTTTTTTCTCCTTTTTTCCCATTTTTTGTCTTTTTTTCCCTTTATTATTTTGATTTTTCTCGCCATTCATTTTTTTCTCCTTTTTTCCCATTTTTGGCTGTTTTCCCCTTTTTTATTTTGATTTTCCCATTTTTGGCTTTTTTCCCCTTTTTTATTTTAATTTTTCTCCATTTCTTTTTTCTCTTTTTTCCCATTTTTGGCTTTTTTTCCCTTTTTTCTCCCCGGAACCGCAGCTCAGAGCGCGGCGCCGCCTCCTCGCCGATTTTGGGTTCAAAAAACCCCAAAAAGGGGAAACGAAAACGCCGAAAATTCAAATTTTTTTCCTGTTCGGGGGCCCCGGCCGGAACCAAAAATTGCGAATTTCGACCCAAAAAATCGCAGCCGTTTCAGCCCCGGAGCAGCTTTGGGGTAAAAAAATCCAATTTTGGGGTCAAAAAAGGGAATTTTGGGGTCAAAAAAGGGAATTTTGGCTTAAATAAATCAGATTTTGGGGTAAATAAATCAGATTTTGGGGTCAAAAAAGGGAATTTTGGAGTAAATAAATGAGATTTTGGGGTAAATAAATCAGATTTTGGGGTCAAAAGAAATTTTGGGGTTCTTGAGGGGATTTTGGGGCAAATGTATGAAATTTTGGGGTCTGGGGGGAGGAATTTTGGGGTCAAAAAAGGAAATTTTGGGGTCGGGGGGGATTTTGGGGTAAATAAATGAAATTTTGGGGTCAATAAATGAGATTTTGGGGTCCGGGAGGGAATTTTGGGGTAAATAAATCCGATTTTGGGGTCACGGAGGAAATTTTGGGGTAAATAAATGAAATTTTGGGGTCCCGGAGGAGATTTTGGGGTCCGGGGGGAATTTTGGGGTCAAAAAAGGAAATTTTGGGGTCGGGAAAAACATTTGGGGTCAATAAAGGAAATTTTGGGGTCACAGAAGAAATTTTGGGGTAAACAAAGGAAATTTTGAGGGAAATAAATCAAATTTTGGGGTAAATAAAGGAGATTTTGGGGTCAAAAAAAGGAAATTTTGGGGTAACAAAAAAAATTGGGGTCCATAAAGGGAATTTTGGGGAAAATAAATGAAATTTTGGGATCGGGAGTAAAATTTGGGGTGAATAAATGAGATTTTGGGGTCAAAAAAGGAAATTCTGGGGCAACAGACAAAAATTGGGGCAAACAAATGAGATTTTGGGGTCAATAAATCCGATTTTGGGGTTGAAGGGGGGGGAATTTTGGGGTCAATAAAGGAAAATTTGGGGTCAAAAAATCAGATTTTGGGGTCAAAAAAGGGAATTTTGGGGTCCCTGAGTTGATTTTTGGGGTCCCGGACTGAATTTTGGGATTTTTGGGGGTCCTGGACTGAATTTTGAGGTTTTTTGGGGTCCCTCGGTTGATTTTTTGGGGTCCCGGGCTGAATTTTGGGGTGTTTTGGGTTGAATTTTGGGGTTTTGAGGTCCCGGGCTGAATTTTGGGGTTTTTTGGGGTTTTTTGGGGTTCCGGGTTGAATTTTGGGGTTTTTTGGGGATCCCGGGCTGAATTTTGGGGTGTTTTGGGTTGAATTTTGGGGTTTTTGGGGTTCCGGGCTGAATTTTTTGATTTTTTGGGTTCCCGGAACTGAATTTTGGGGTTTTTTGGGTTGAATTTTGGGATTTTTTGGGGTCCCGGGCTGAATTTTGGGGTTTTTGGGGTCCCGGAACTGAATTTTGGGATTTTTGGGGGTCCCGGGCTGAATTTTGGGATTTTGGGGGTCCCGGGCTGAATTTTGGGGTGTTTTGGGTTGAATTTTGGGGTTTTTGGGGTCCCGGAACTGAATTTTGGGGTCCCGGACTGAATTTTGGGGTTTTTTGGGGTCCCGGGCTGAATTTTGGGGTGTTTTGGGTTGAATTTTGGGATTTTTTTGGGGTCCCGGACTGAATTTTGGGATTTTTTGGGGTCCCGGAACTGAATTTTGGGGTTTTTGGGGTCCCAGACTGAATTTTGGGATTTTTGGGGTCCCGGAACTGAATTTTGGGGTCCCAGACTGAATTTTGGGATTTTTGGGGGTCCCGGGCTGAATTTTGGGGTGTTTTGGGTTGAATTTTGGGGTTTTTGGGGGTCCCGGGGTTGAATTTTGGGGTGTTTTGGGTTGAATTTTGGGGTTTTTTGGGGTCCCGGGCTGAATTTTGGGGGTTTTTGGGTTGAATTTTGGGGTTTTTTGGGGTTCCGGAACTGAATTTTGGGGTTTTTGGGGTCCCGGGCTGAATTTTGGGGTGTTTTGGGGCGGTTTTAGGGTCGCGCCATGGCCCAGCACGAAACCTACGGCAACTGGATCGGCCCCAAGCGCCTCCAGCGGCAGCCGGGTGAGCCAAAAATTCCCATTTTTTGGGGGGAAAAATCCCAAAATTCTCTTTTTTTTGGGAGCTAAATCCCGAATTTGGGTTTTGGGGGAAAATCCCCCAAAATTCCCCTTTTTTTAATGGGGGTAAATCCTAAATTTGGGGGATTTTTGGGAAAAAAAAATCCCATTTTTTCCGGGTTAAAATCACTTTTTTTGGGGATAAATCCCAAATTTTGGGGTTTTTTTGGGGGGGTAAATCCCAAATTTGGGGAAAATCCCCCAAAATTCTTCTTTTTTGGGGTTAAATGCCAAATTTAGGGGGTTTGGGGGGTAAAAGCCCAAATTTGGTGATTTTTAAAGGAAAATTTCCCATTTTCCAGGTTAATCCCAAATTTTTGGGGTTTTTTGGGGGGTAAATCCCAAATTTGGGGGTTTTTTGGGGAAAATTCCCCCTTTTTTCCGGGTTAAATTCCCTTTTTTCGGGGTTAAATCCCAAATTTTGGGGTTTTTTGAGGAAAAATCCCCCAAATTTTCATTTTTTGGGGGGGTAAATCTCAAATTTTGGGTTTTTTTGGGGAAAAATCCCCTAAATTCCCATTTTTCCCTATTTAAATCCCCCAAATTCTCATTTTCCCCCCATTTTCCCAATTTTTTTTTTCCATTTTCCCCCATTTTTCCAAATTTTTTCCTCGATTTTTCCCCTTTTATTCCCCTTTTCCTTTCATTTTTTCCTGGTTTTTTTTCCTGATTTTTCCTGATTTTTTCCTCATTTTGGTCCCTTTCATTCCTATTTTTTCCCCATTTTTTTCTCCCCTTTCCCCCCTTTTTTTTTTCTGTTTTCCCAAATTTTCTCTCTTTTTTCCCCATTTTTTCCTGTATTTTTTTTCTGGTTTTTCCGGATTTTTTCCCCCATTTCCCCAGATTTTTTTCTCCCTTTTCCCCCCTTTTTCCCCGATTTTTTCCTGTTTTATTCCAAATTTTTTCCCGATTTTTTCCCAATTTTTTCCTTTTTTTTCCTGTTTCTTTCCCGATTTTCCCCAATTTATTCTGGATTTTTTCCCTGATTTTTTCCCTGATTTTTTTTCCGTTTTTCCACTATTTTTTCCTATTTCCCCCCCCCCATTTCCCCCTTTTTTTCCCCCATTTTTTCCCGATTTTCCCCCATTTATTCCCGATTTTTTCCCCATTTTTTCCCGATTTTTTCCCTTTTTTCCCCCGTTTTTTCCCGATTTTTTCCTGAATTATTCCCAATTTTTTCTCAATTTATTCCTGATTTTTTCCCGATTTTTCCCCAATTTCCTCCCCATTTTTTCCTGTATTTTTTCCTCATTTATTCCCAATTTTTTCCCGATTTTTCTCGATTATTCCCCCATTTTTTCCTATTTTATTCCCGATTTCTTTCCTATTTTCCCCCTATTTTTCCCCGATTTTTTCTCTATTTTTTCCCGATTAATTTTGAATTTTCCCCATTTTTCCCCCGATTTATTCCCAATTAATTTTGATTTTTTTTCCTGATTTTTCCCGATTTTTCCCATTTTCTCTTTCCTCAGGAATTTACTCCGTGGCCGGGAAGATTTCCCCACTGGGCGACTTCAGACCGGGTAAAATTCGCTTTTTTCCCAAATTTTCCCAATTTTTCCCAAATTTTGGGACTGGATTCTTCCATTGGGAATTTCAGCTGCAAAATCCCCAAAAATCCAAATTTTTCCTCTTAAAATCCCCCAAAAAATCGAATTTTTTATCTCTTAAAGCCCAAAAAAAAATTTAATTTTTTTCCTTAATAGTCCCCAAAGATCAAATTTTTTTCCCTTAAAATTGCTCAAAAATCAATTTTTTTTTCCATTAAAATCCCCCCAAAAATTCGAATTTTTCCTCAGAAGTCCCCCAAAAAATTGAATTTTTTTACCCTTAAAAACCCCCAAAATTTGATTTTTTTCCCCTTAAAATCCCCCAAAAATCAAATTTGTTTTTCCATTAAAATCCCCCCAAAAATTGAATTTTTTTACCCTAAAATGCCCCAAAAATTTGGGATTTTTCCTCTTTCCAGCGTCTCCCGAGAGCTTCGAGGACGATTACGACGACGTTTCCATGGAGGGCTCCGAGCGGGGCGCCCCGCCCAAAGGTGCCCCAAAAATCCCCAAAATCCCCCCAAAAATCCCCAAAAAAATCCCCCAAAATTCCCCAAAAATTAAAAAAAGAATCCCCCAAAATTCCCAAAAAATTCCCCCAAAAATTCCCAAAAATACCCCAAAAAATTCCCCAAAAATTCCCAAAAAAATAAAAAAAATTCAAAAAATCCCCACAAAAATCCCCACAAAAAAATCCCCAGAAAATTCCCCCAAAATTCCCAAAAAAATAAAAAAAAATTCCAAAAATCCCCAAAAAATTCCTCCAAAAAAAAATCCCAAAATTTCACCAAAAAAATCCCAAAAAATCCTTCAAAAAAACCCCCCAAAAATCACCAAAAATTCCCAAAAAAATTCCCAAAAAAAATCCCCAAAAAAATCCCCCAAAATTCCTAAAAAAATTTAAAAAATTACAAAAATCCCCCAAAAATTCCTCAAAAAAATCCCAAAATTTCACCAAAAAAATCCAAAAAATTCCCCCCAAAAAATTCCCAAAAAATTCCGCAAAATTCCCAAAAAACACCCAAAAAAATCCCTCAAAACATCCCTTAAAATTCCACACAAAAATCCAAAAAGGTTCTCAAAAAAAATCCCCAAAAATTCCGCAGAATTCCCTAAAAATACCCCAAAAACTTCCCAAAAAAATTCCCAAAAAAATCCCCCAAAAAATCCACAAAAATCCACAAAAAAATTCCCCAAAAATTCCCCAAAAATCCCCAAAGAATTCCTAAAAAATTGCCAAAAAATTCCCAAATATTCCCCCAAATATTCCCCCAAAATCCCCCAAAATTTTCCCAAAAAATCCCCAAAAAATTCCCAAAAAACCCCTATAATCCCCTTAAAATCCCCCCAAATTCCGTAAAATTCCCATTTTTTCCCCCAAAATTCCCTAAATTCCCCGCAAATTTCCCAAAAATTCCCATTTTTCCCCAAAAAATTCCCAAAAATTCCCCAAAATTCCCATTTTTTCGTCCCGCAGGCGTTTACCTCCTGGCGGGGCCTCCCCAGGAGGATCCCGAGGAGAAATCCGGGAATTCCGACCCAAAATTTGGGAATTCCGGCCCAAAATTCAGGAATTCGGGTTGGAAATTTGGGAATTGTGGCCGGAAATTCGGGGATTGAGACCCCAAAATTTGGGAATTCTTGTACAAAATGTGGGAATTTCAACACAAAATTTGGGAATTCTGGGCCCAAACTTGGGAATTTTGATCCTACACCCCAAAATTCCCCAAATTCCTACCAAAATTCCCCCCAACATTCCAAAGAATACCCAAAAAAATTCCCCAAAAAATTCCCAAAAATCCACAAAAAATTCCCAAAAATCCCCCCAAAAAATTCCCCAAAAATTCACAAAAATCCACAAAAAATCCCCCAAAATCCCCAAAAATCCACCCAAAGAAATTCCCAAACCATTCTCAAAAATTCCCTAAAAATCCCCAAAAAATCCCCCAAAATTCCCAATTTTTTCCCCAAAAATCCCAATTTTTCCCCAAAAAATTCCCCAAAATTCCCATTTTTCTGTCCCGCAGGCGTTTACCTCCTGGCGGGGCCTCCCCAGGAGGATCCGGAGGAGAAATCCGGGAATTCCGACCCAAAATTTGGGAATTCCGACCCAAAATTTGGGAATTCCGACCCAAAATCGGAGAATTTGGACCCAAACTCCGGGAATTCGGACCCCGAATTTGGGAATTCCGACCCAAAATTTGGGAATTCCGCCCCAAAATGCGGCCGGTGCCGCCGGGCGCTGCTGGGCCTGGCCTGGGCCGCGCTCGCCGCCGCCGCCATCGGCAGCCGTGAGGAATTGGGGCGAAAAAACGGGATTTTGGGCAAATTGGGGATTGGGGGGAAAAACGGGGATTTTGGGATAAAAAATGGGGGTTTGGGGCAAAAAACCGGGATTTTGGGCAAATGGGGATTGGGGGGAAAATGGGATTGGGGGAAAATGAGAATTGGGGGAAAAATGGGGATTTTGGGATAAAAAAACGGGATTTTGGGCAAATTGGGATTGGGGGGAAAAACGGGGATTTGGGGAGAGAAATGGGGATTTTGGGCAAAATGGGATTGGGGGAAAAATGGAGATTGGGGGGAAAAAATGGGATTTTGGG